AGTAGCGAGAGTTAGATCAAAGAGCTTCCAGTCTAGCGCGACGAGGTAAACTGCAGCGAGCAATGATGGTGAGAACCCGCGGTAAGACCGGACATCTTGCTCCAAGGATACGCCCTGGCCCAGGATCGGGAATGGGAATGTGCGATGCATGATGCGAAAATTAAAAAAAAAATTTTACCCAGATTGGTTTTAGCGGAAGTATCAATTCCTCGGTGCGATCTAGGTCGGTGATGCGTTGCATCTCAGAAGCCGAGTCCTTGTCAGGGTAGGTCATGAATGCGGCGGATTGATTCACACGCCGCAAAAAAACAACTTTCTTGACCAGAGAGCGACATCGATTCTGGTCGCCGGTCAAGAAGTTCAGGTCCATGATAATTGGCAGGGCCAATATACTCGAAATGCAGATGAATCTCTAGACCCCATGGACCATCCAGTCATGGATTGACTGGATCAGCCACGGTCTGTTCTTCCACCGATTCAACAGTACAGTTGATAGTGTTAGATACTTACAGTGTCGTTTGATTATTTGATTGAAGTAAGTTCAGAATGGTCCCGGACATTGTGTTTCTATTGAAACATCCCTGGTTTCTTTTTCTGCTGTGCTCGGCGACATACTGTCCCTTTTCCGTGGTCGGCGGCCATGAAGAACTGTGCCTTCAAGACCGTTCAAGTTACAAAACGTGCAGCTGTCTTTCTCGGGCTCTCGTATACATCGCGACTTGCGATGACGGCAGCGATCGCATGGGCGTCGCGTGGGGGTGGTTCATTCCAGTCCGGGACATATGATGCAAATCAACTCTTATGTTCTTTCGATACAGAGATCTTGGGTTTGAGATTGTCTGCTCATCTAATTGTTCATCAAGATCTGTCGAGTGCCAATCTATGTAGCTCATTGGGTGGAACAATGTTGACGATGTTCCCCGTGGCAGAGTGGGCATTGACCTCCCACTGTGGTTGAACGTGAACACGTGACTGTACATTACCACTCACATTGAATTCTTTTGCATTCCCTGGAATCAACCTGGTAGTATCGCCCCAAAGGATTTGCATCGTCCAAGAAGTGGTCATATACACAGGCAACTCAAATCAGTGGAAGCGTGCGGGCCGCTTTGATATTCACCAAGAGATTGTCCCCAGTGAATGTTCGCTAGAATATAAGAGAGTCCTGAACATGCACACGTTGGATGCTTACGACTGTGCCATGGCTGAAAGCTGTTGATACACAAGGCTGGTACAGATCAGGAACCAAGCCCCATAATCGGGAATGCTCCTTCCCGATCTACTTTGTACGCTTTGGGTCTCTATTTCACGAATCCACCATTCATTTCAAGTATCCACCTGGGTCCTGCCTGAGGACCTTGTAGATAACCAACAGGGCTGGACGGATGCAGAATCCTGGTGCTATGAAACAGTGGGCGGTTAAGAGGCAGCTCGACGTCAAGTTTCAGTAGTCACATGGGGAAAGGTCGTTTCCGCGTCTTCGAAAGCCGACATTCTTTTGTCAATTTCACATGTTCACAGATTCGACCATCAAACCCAGTCAATGACGCTTTGATGTGTGTTAGTCTCGATGTGGGTCGAGAGATTTACATCACTTGACATGTGATCTCAGCCCATCTCTCCAAACCAGATAGGGATAGCTAACAGTCCAAATGATCCTTTATCTCTGACATACCCATGTACATCTTCCCTGCAATTCCGGAATAACCATTGTCGAGAACCGCGTTCGCCTCGCTGGTAAGCGGAAAATTAGCGAGTTCGCCAACCGCTCGGATGGAGACTCGGTTTGAGTTCAAAAGCCCAGCCTGGTGGCTGCATTTGCATTTGTGTCGGAGGGCCCATGGTCCGACGGTCCTGCAGGGAAGATGTAGAGAAGCAACGAGGAAAAGGGGAGGGGAAACTCTCCACTTAGCCAATAAGAAGATATTATTGAAGCGTGCCTGATCTGACTGCATTGCGTTGTTAACCCCTCAATGCGTCACTCCCATCATATGAGGGGTTGTGGCTTTCATTTTTTTCAACTTGCGTGCTATGATTGAAGGCCTGCCAAAGCATTTACTGTGCCGTTGAAAAGCGGGCAAAAGTCACTTTCTCGGTATCAAAAAGCGAGACACGTGGAATTTAAGAGATTGGTAGTCCTCAAGAGGGAGCTTCAACTGCAGAGGGTTGCTCCGAAGGAAAGATAGTGAACACACGCTGAACCTTGTTCATCCCCTAATGTAAGCCGTGAATGTAACTACGGAGTACGCTGCCCGTGATATCTATCCTACATCATACATTCTACGCGTTGTGCGTATCAGATCAATGTGAATAGCTTGTTTGGGCCAAGTCCAAGCTCAACCTTTTACATAATTAAATTAAGCGATAACTACCGCTCGCATAATGTAGTTTAATCTAGTGTTCCGATAAGAATTAATGTCGGCTAGTTCGTTGTCCGAGGCTGTGGACCTAACGGTTACCCCAGAGTTCAACAAGCCAAGTCCAATTCCATTGATCAGGTTGTCTTCCGGACGGGACTATGACAACTGCTTTTAAGCATCCGGAGTACAACATGGACTTTAAAACCAACTGGGACCGCTTGTTTACCCGAGGTTCCCGCACTCGAGGCCAAAAAAATAAAAAAACAAAAATAATTTAAAAAAAAAGGGAGCACGAACTGTCGGAAAGTTCGACACTAATTCCTCTGCATGAAATTTATCTTGCTCGGTAAAGTGGATCGTACAGAAATTTCCTCGGGTCACTGCTATATATTCTTCCGCATTGCCACTCAGCAGTGCACGATTAGCAATTTTAGGGAAAATTTCGAATCTTTGAAACAGTTCCTAGCACCGGAAGATTCCCAGCCTCGGTACGAAGAGATTACCTATTACTCTGTCCACCGTCCTCTGGGAGTTTTCATTTTCAGTGGGATTGGCGGTATGATGTGAGTGAGATGCTTGTCCATCCCATATGCCTTTTAGCTAAGGCTAAGACATAATCAAAATGAAAAATGGGGCAGAGGTTCCCCCGAGAGATCCAATAGTAATTAGCCCAAGGACACGGCTGGACCGATATCTCAAGCCCCCCCTCTCCACCAACGGATAAGACTACCAAATAAGACTACCTCAATAGGGACCACTAGGGCAATAAACGGTATGATACCCGCTGTGAAGCGGGCCCTGAAAGTTACCAGGTCACATTACGACGATGTCCAATCCTGATAGCCATTTCATTTGAGACATTTCACGTGTTAGCCAATGATTACCCGAGTTATCGCTGTCCTGTTGTCCATCCCCACTTATATTCTCCCCACCCAAGGCACATTTTTGTATGTTGTACCAAAGCCTACCAAATCATAATTATAGATAGGTTTCAATCTGGACCCTAGTCTCTATCCTACTTAGGTCAATGTCCGAGCAGACGTAACGAGGTAGTTGAAGGAGATAGGAAAAGACAGGGAAAGAGATCTCACGATAAATTCGCATCCCAGAGGCACGCGTCAAGAATCAAACGGAAAATGGCGAATCTAGTTTTGAATCGTGCCACTCACCCCCTCCAGCCCCTCTCTCCCACGGTTTTCGTCGGGGAAATAGGGAAAATAGGGAAAATAGGGAAACTAGAAACTGGGCCCAAGGTTAACACGAGAAGAGCACTCTAAAAAAGTATGCACCGACAATCGCTACCTTTCTAGAAGCCCGCGGGATGTTTTCAGATTGGTGGATGCACATTCGATTACCCCAGGTCCGCCATGGTCCGCCATGGTCCGCCATGAACGGGGATGTACCTGCGCGGAGCGATATCGTCAGTAATCGGTCTCTTGTCGCAATTGGCTAAAAGTCCTCGCTCAGCCTACTAATCTGGGCGACCCGCTATTATAAGGCTTGGATCTCCCTGATAACCAAATGATCTTCAGATTTTTGATTTTGGCCCTCTGTGAAGGGTCCAAATTGTTGATCATATTGAGCTTTTTTTTCTTTCTTCTTCTTCAACTTCTCATCTTTCGATCACATAGATGATCTAAACAGTATACCAAACGCACAGTAACCATTCAGCCAATACAATGACGAGAACCGGCCCTACAAATAATCATATCTCGTGGGAAACCAAGAGCATTGTTCCAGAGGATGGCAGGAGAATCGACTCGGGCGCGTGCCAAGATGCAAGGCCGAAGGGGCGCATTCGACGATCAATGACTGCTTGTAATACCTGTCGCAAGCTCAAGACTCGCTGTGATGTTGATCCCCGTGGTCATGCTTGTCGTCGCTGTTTATCACTTAGGTTTGTTTGGCAGATATTCGATTTTTTTTTGGGGGGTGGTGTTTGTGGGGAGGGGGGCATTTCCCGGTCATATCTATATGCTAACCCACTATTGGCATCAAAAGGCTCGAATGCGAACTCCCCGAGACAACAGAACGATTCCAGGACAATGTATCCACCTGGTCCGACGCCACCGCTATACCATCGATCGAGGAACGGCTTGTCTCTCTCGAAAGAGGCATGGGGGAGATGATACATCTGATGCGGCAGATGGTGAACCGCTCCCCTAGCACGCCCTGCAGCCCAATCTTACAAACCAGACATAACAGCCTAGATGGAACATCCTCTAGCGATAGCATCTCTTCATCTTTTCATCCGCTCAAGCCCGCGCAAATCATTCGAGACCTGCAAGCCGAATGTTTCGGCGAGAGAGATCACTTTTCCGATGCCGACATCCTCGGGGATATCGTCACTCAGGGCATCGTAGATTCCAAACTTTCCTTGAAATTGATTGAACTGTGTGTCTGATTGTGCAATGGTCACTGGACTTCCCTGCTAACAATTTTACCAGTTTTGTCGAATATTTCGGTCATTGGGTCTCAATAAATCATTCGTCAAGCATTCAACGGTCAAATACACTCCTTTTCAACACGGCATGTCTCCTCGCTACGCGATATCTACCGGGTCTATCACAACACACCGTTCGCGATATCTCACTCTGTGTACAACATGCCGTGGCAAAGGTTTTGTGGAAGCCTCCGCCCATGTCAAGCGATATGCTGCAGGCTTTGACATTGCTCTGTCTATACTCTACTTCCGTCCACAAAGAAGGACTCATGGACGACTGGTTGCTGAGCGGAATCTCGATCAACCATGCCCTTATCTCATTTAACTTCCTCAACACCTTGCCGGGAGACAATTTAAATCCAGACGAGCTACTGGCTCAGTTGCGTCTGTGGAACACACTTTGCGCAACCCAGCTCCAGTATGTACTGTCTGATCAACCCAGCTTCTACCTGTCAGATGGATGATCTGACATCAACCCACTAGCTCTGCCCTTGCAAACGGCCGTACCGTCAACATCCAACAACAATTCATCGACCAATGCCCCCGCGTCCTCGAACACGCAGCCGCCACACCAGAAGATGGGAGGATCGTCGCAGAAATCCAACTATACCGCATCGCTCTCCGACTTCAACACACCCAGCACCGCGTCCAATTCGCAGAAACCGAATACGAAGATCTGGAACGCTGGAAAATGGAATGGGCCCATCTCCTAAGTACATCCATCAACCCTCTCCCCAGATGCCGACTCGCCCCAAACTAACCCCCACACTTTCTTAATAGCCACCAGCGAAGACTCAACCCTCAATCTGAACCTTTGGTTCTGCCAACTGCTCCTCTACCGAACAGCCGCCCGTGTCCAACCGGACAGCGAGCGCCTCCTCCCAGAAATATGCGGCACGGCCCGCCTAATAATCAACCAATTCCTCCAAACGCGCTTCACCACCGCTCCCGCTTTAATCGACCACGTATACTTCATTGTCGGCTACGCTGCGCTCACACTCTGCGACTACACGCTCACCGACCCACTAATCAGCCAAGTCCGCGGCTTCCTACTGCACCTCGCGCCCGGCGGCGACAACCTCTCATATCGGATCGCGTGCATTGTCGGCGAAGTACAACGGCGGTATTCGGAGACAAGTGCTGTTGTGACTGCGGGGTCGCATTCCTCGTCGCCGGTCGCCGAGGTCAAGGGCGTGCAGATGTTTGGTGCATCGCAACATCATCGTTCCGGCATGGATATCTCGCAGCTCATGTCTAGCGCGGAGGGCTTGGATTCCCTTGTTGAGGGGTATAATTGTCTCGAGCAGATGATGCCTGGGTATACGACTTCTCAACCTTCGTTTGAAGCCCCAGATTTGTTTCATTCTCCGACGACTGGAACAACTGGTGGAGCTATGCCGATCGGGCTAGTGCCGAGGGCGTTGCATGATTGGTGATGGGACTACGTGGTTTGGTACTTTTGGTTCTAGGTTGTTGGTTATTGGAGTTCATGCATGATGAGTGTTAATGAGCTTTAAATATGTTGGGACTTGGGTGTTGTGTTGTGCTTTTGTCTTCTGGCGCAGGATCGTAATAGCAAAAGCACAAATGGAAATGGTCAGGACTTGTTCAACCGGCTTCTTTTGTCTCGTGGATTTGGTCCACATCTTAGTAGTAGATCTTGCTTCCCGCTAGATTTACACCACCTACATGTTTAGTTACATGCTTTTCACATCTATTCTCGCATTGCGAGGTTAGTGGGTTCATTTGGAACTCAGCGAGATGGATTTCTCTATTCCAAAACTCCGTAATTAGTTGACAAATCATTTGCCGAAGCGAATGCCATTGCATTTCACGTCTAACTCGTCAGATCCCGATTTCTCCTCTCACCTGCTGGGAAAACGCAAAGTAACAAGACTGTAGATGCATACCCAACTTTAAAAAGATTAGCCCAGATTGCAAGGCTAATGCGCGGCAAGTGCCAAATTAGAATTATCCTTGTCGAATCCCCTGACATGAAGCTTGGTCGAATCGGCATGCGTGGGAACTCGTGCCCGATGTTTGCAGGTGTGCGGAGATATAGACGGGGTTGCAGTTGATCAATGGCTCGTTTGAGACGACATCAATCCTTTACCTGGGGAAAGCTGGGTTTCAGTCGCGGAGGAATACATGCCAATACTCGCGGTAGATGCTGCTAGGATTATGATGCTAAATCCCAGTTCTATAGTAGAAGTGATCTATGTGACATAACGCGCAAGGAGAATATGAATTTGGGCTTCATTATTTTGGCCGACATGCGAGATTGGTCCATAGATCTTTGAACGAATTAATTATGAATGCGACGGGGTGTAGGTGTGATCTAGCAGTTTCTTCTCTACTCAGCTGAGGTGAGGTTATACAGAGCGCACCTTAACAAAGGGTGCTCGGTCCTTGGATATTTAGGAAGACGAAAACGAGATAATCATAAGATAATGCAAGGAAAGGGAGAAAGCACACAACCAAACTAGTGCAGAATTGCGGTTACTGAACAGAAATCCGACTGCCACTGGGATAAACTATAGAGAAGAGATCAGATTTGCGTGCCAAAAGACCGTACCCCCAATAATCTCTGAAGACTTACCATAATCTACCGCCTACCACTTCAATGTCCAATCCTCGCTGAAAGCACCTTTCTTTGTCAACTTTTGCAAGCCACTAATAGACAAGACATGGGAGGTAGCATTATACTGTACCCCAGAAGCTGGCACAGGTCGACCACCAAAATTAACATCGCCAGGCTTCTTAGACACACCAAGAACAGTTACAGTAGCGAGAGGATTCGACTCCTCCCAGTTACCACTCGCACTGGCACTCAAAATGGAGCCCTTGACCTTGAAAGTAACATCAAGTGTCTCATCCGGAGCATTGCTCTCTCCATCATCGAGATATAGCTGCCCGGAAGCAGCTCCATTGACACCAAGGGCGACAAGCAAAGACCAGGGCGTGGCACGTGCCTCCTTTGTAGTCAAAGCTGGCTCCTGCATTGGCAAAACGCTACCCCCACGTACGAAAACGGGAATATTGCCGAGCGGGGCGGGGATGGTGGTGTTGACACCTGGCTTTGCTTCCACGGCTGTCTGAGTGTACCAGTTGTACCAGACCTCGCCGTGCTTGAGGCCCGGAAAGATGCCCTTGACAGAAGTCGCTTGCGGGGCCAGCACGGGGACGACCATGATTGATGGGCCGAGGAGGAACTGAGTGTCGACTGCGGCGAGGGAGGGGTCTGTAGGGAATTCCCAGGCCAAGGCGCGCATGACAGTGGAGCCGGTTGTGTGGGCCTCGTGGAAGAGGGTATAGAAGTAGGGGAGGATTGCGTAGCGGATCTTCATGGCGGATTTAGCGGCAGCTGTAACGGATTCCCAGACGTAGGGCTCTTGCGAGTTTGCGGACAGGGTGTTGTGGTTGCGGTAGAAGGGGAAAAAAGCTGATAGTTGCATCCAGCGGTTGCAGAGTTCTTCGTCGGTGTTGCCATTGAAGCCACATGTGTCGACGCCGAACATAGGAATTCCAAAGAGGGAGAATGAGAGGGCTTGGGGAATAGAGAAAAACATATATGCCCACCTAGAGGCATTGTCACCACCCCAATGGCCGGCCCATTTACCAGATCCTGCGAACGTTGAGCGGCCGATGATGAAAGGACGCTTCTTTTTATCGACTTTTAGCAGGCCATGGTAGGTGGCGTTGAGTATTTGATGACCGAAGAGATTGTGCACATCGTATTCTTGGACACCATCTGAGTGAGTGGCATTCGGGGACACGGCATGCGCGCTGAGATCGTGGCCATCTTGGTCATGGTTGATCACATATGGCGGGTAGTTGATGTTGCGTGCTCCCGCAGTGGGTGTGGTCCGCAGATAAGAGGTGGACGAAGAGACAGAGCCGCCGGTGGCAGCGGCAGCCTGTCTGGACGCCGCTGTAGATGCAGATGCAGCCTCGGTCTTGTTGCTGACCTCAAAATTTTCCGGGTAGTCATAAATAACGTTGCCAGACTCTCCAGGCAGTGCAAACGGAGGGTGAGATGGGTTCATGCTAAGGTTTCCAGATCCGCAGCTGCCAACGCAGAAGGAAGAAACCTCGTTCATATCAATCCAGATGCCATCAATGGCTATTTTCTTGTGCCAGGTAACGATCTCATTTGCCCAGAAATCGCCTGTCTTAGGATTGTGCCAGTCGGGGAAGACAGTGTAGCCGGGCCAGACAGCGCCAATGTATTCACTTCCATCAGGATTCTTCAGGAAGACGTCATCCTTGTGTCCACGGGTGTAGGTATCATAGCTGAGTATAAATCAGCTATGTTTCTGTATGACAGACCAAAGGGAACTTACACATCAGAGACGTTCTTGGGGTTTGGAATGTAGATAGCCGCGTCTATGATAGGAACATAATGACGACCACTGCTGTGCAGCTTATCTATGAACTTCTCACCCTCACTGTAGGGGTAACGTTGTTGATCATTGTCAAAGTCGCGGTAACCATGCATATAATCAATGTCATTCCTAGTTGTGTCAGAGCTTGCTTCAACCATGGAAAGGCTTAGTAGGTCAGTTTACCAGATAGTCTCGAGCGGAATTTCAAACTTGTCAAAGTTGGAGACAACCTCTTCAAGCTGAGTCCAGTTATTGTAACCCCAGCGGCATTGGTGGAAGCCAAAAGTAAAGTACTGCTGCAATGCTGGCAAGCCAATGGTGCTCAGCTGATAGTTTTTGGTCACGTCCGCTTGGCTAGGACCCGAGTAGAAAGTGAGATCTATGCTACCTCCCAGGGTGCGCCACTTCAGGCCCTCGGGATTCATGACGATCTCCTGACCATGGGCATTTCTAGAGAAGACACCGTGCGAGAAGGAAACATAGTCTTTGGACTGATCGGCCTGATCACTTGCAACCAGGGTGTGGTGACCATTGTGGCTAACTTCATAGTAGCGAGTATCAAGGTAGAAAGGCTGAGAGCCGTAAACATTACTGGCAAGTTATCAGCATTAAAAGAGCTGTACAATTTAGGGGGAAAAGATGGCCGGCGAATAAAACTCACTCATCAATAGGGTCACCAATATCCGACGCATAAAGAGTCAATGTGAGATTTCTCAAGAGGCGTAGCTGTTGGATGTGCTCTCCAATGCCATATAAGTTATAATCCTTCGGCAGGGAGGTAACAAACTCAATAAACTGGTTCTCAAACACCAGGACCGAACCAGTTGTATCGAAGATGGCATCGCGGGTAGCCTTGCGGGTCACTTTGAAATTAAAAGAGGGTTCATTTGACCAGGTGATCTCAAGATCACTATGCTTCTTTGAAGAACGATGGTTGGAAGTGGGCCGGGGAACGACAAGCTCATCCAACACGAACCAAGAGTAGTTCGAAGAATCGAGATAGGTCGGGAGGATTTGAACGTTGAGGCGGTCATTAGCAAGGTACTCGATGGAAAAGTTCAACGAGTCAACATCGATGCCGTAGACGTTGCATGGCTTTCCGGCTAACGTCAAAGTAGCGGTCAATCCGCGAGCAGATTCCTTGATGTTTGATGCCTTGTACCCGGGACAAACCGACTGCGCGTCGACGGCTTCAGGGTCATTAATATTGGCAATCAGCTGAACGCCAGTATCGGCGCCAGCTGGAATGGTAAATTGAGACCATCCACCCGAAGAGGTCGAAGAAGCAGCGGTAGAGCGAGTGCCCGAGGCCGTTGTGGTGGATGTTGAGAAAGCACCATAGGCTGCTGGCAAGAGCCAAGCACTGACCAAAAGTTTCTTCGCACCAACCATCATGACCACTTCCTTGTTTTTGTTGTAGACCAAGGCCAATATATGTTTCAGATGATCGTGTCCCAGCTCGTTCTTCTAAGTTGCTGAGCGTAACCTGCTCTTAGCACTGCGCGGATACAGATGCTGACGGGAACCCGATGATGAGTTGAACTCGAAAGAATTTTCGTTGATTCTCCGATATAATCACATAGTTTTCTAGGGACAGAATGGTTTTGTGGGGCTGGTCGAGCTTCAAGGTAAAAAAAAAAGCGGGAAAGGCAGGGTGAATGACGGAGAGGAGGCCCCTTACGTCGACCCGACATAGCGTCCACTAATAAGGCTGTATAACCTGGTGATGTACACAAACGAGGGGTAGAGGTGGGGATTAGGCAATTCTAGCCTTCAATATTTAAGTATCATAAAAGATGTCACTCTGGAGTCTGGCAGAAGGGGGCAAAGATGTTCCTGTAGATTCTTATGCTGAAGACTGATAAGCGGTAAGAGTTCGAAATCGGTTCACACTATGAATGAGAACAGCAGTAAGAGTTGTAGTATTGACCTTGCCTAGGTGGAATATAATTGCTCCGGACCATTCTGCAACCTTGAGAGTCATCTAAAAACCGACGATCACTAGATTGTGCAATTCTAAGCTGGTGGTTGGCCAGTTGTCCGATAAATGCTCAAAGTGGCAAGCTGCGGTGAGCCCTTTCTATACCAAAATCAACGATGGAGTGAAGAAACTGTTTGGACCAGATCTCACCTTGTGAAGCGGAGCTGAATTCTTCAGTGTTGACTAATTTATACTAAACCAGTTCAAGAGGGCGAACGAATCCAGCATGTTAGATATTAATGTACCTGTCAATCAGTGCCATGAATGTGTTAGGGTAATGCCCTCTATGTACTTAGTACTCCTTACCTGGTAGAGATACTTTGCTTACCGAGATCTGGGATCCGTATAAGCATTAGCAGAGGATAATACGAATATTCAGAACGGGAGTAACCACTCAATGAGTCAACTTTCATAGTGATCATCACGGTGATCTGATGTCCTCTATTCTGACTGAGGGATTTGTACGTAGACGCAGAGAGAAGTCGGGCCGAGAGGAAAAGACCCTAATCCAGAAGAATAGTAAGAGTAGCAAGGTCCAGAAGGATGTCAATGAGAAAAGATCAAAATTAGAATCAAAATTCTAAGCAGGGGCTTTTGCGGGGGGTTTTTTTTCC